AAGACTTATAAATTTTTAGTAACTTGACAATGCTTTCCTAGTTATTTTCGTTTGTAACTGTAGTAACTGTATGTCGTTTGTATAATCTGTACTTTTTTTACAACACATCATTGGGACTATTTCTAGTCTGTTGATGCAACCATAACAAATAAACAAATAAACAAAGCAATTATAAACTATTATGCATGTATTGATGTCAACATGAATAACAATTACACTAAATAAATTTGAGGCATCCGACTAGGTATTCATGGTGCTTACTCGAAGATTCTACAATTTTACAAAATTTCCGAACACTTTAGCGAAGTTCCTGTGAGATTTTGGAGAATCTTCGAGTTAGTTCCATGAATATAGTGAAAAAGCGGGAACGTTTTAAGGGAATTTTATTTATGTTAATAATGTCATGGCAGTTTCGAGCACTTCAGATATATTGCGGGTACTTCAGCAAAGTTCAGAAAACATTAAGGCAGTCCCATTAATTCGTGCAAGATCATAGAACTTCAGAGCACTTCCATTAATTCCATTTCAGGAAAATAGCAACGTGGAGTCCCAGGGAAGTTCGAATATAATATTGATATAGGAAAACTGGTTGGTTATTGGATATTATATGTACCTTCCGATCCTGCACGTTGTAGTTTTATATTTATCACAGTGATCTTGACAGTTTTACCTAGAGGATGAGTACTTAAGCAGAAACATTTTAGTTGAAGTTCTGTAAACTTCAGAGCAGCTTTAAGTATGGTGAGAACTTTAGAAAAGATCATTTCAGTTCCATTTTGTTTTTAAGATAAATAGAAAGAGGTTTTGAGAAGATGATCCTAGTATTCAGAAAGTCCAGGACACTTCAGAGATGCTTTGAAAACGTCAGAAAAAAAATCCAGGAATTTCACAGAAGCTCAGAGAACTCCAAAGAAAACAAAAACTTCAGGAAAATCGTAAGAACTACAAATAAATTTAAAGAACATCAGTGAAGATCAACGAACCTCCGAGCAATTCAGTTTAAAGATCTTAAGATCTGTTGAGAAGTTTTGATATTTTCAGAGAAGTTCAAAACTTTTCAAGCCAATTTAACAAAATTTGCTGGAGCTCCATGATAAATGGATAAATGAGGCAACTTCCGGGCGGATCAAAGAACATCAATGCAGTCGCATTAACTTAAGGAAAACTGTAGGAGCTTTGAAGAAATACTGAAGACTTCAGGGAAGCCTTCAACATTTCAGGGAAGTTTAATGAACTTCAAGAACTTCCATGTATAAGACGCTAGTGCATTTTAAGAAAGTTTAGAGATCTTTATGAAAGTTACGTGAACTTCAATACAGCTACAAGAACTTTTAAGGGAAAGTTTACCGCCGGAAAATAAAAACATATATTTTCAGAACGTTTTTATTTTTCTAAAAACATTAGGAAAAATCATCAAAAGTAAAAGAAAGTAAATTTTTTCCTTTGATTCTTAAATTCACATGTAAAAATAATGAAGTTTGAAATGATCATGTCCTCAAGTATGGTATGAATTAAAAAAAATGTTTTTCGAGCATTTGTTAGAAATTTTACAATCGACACTAATTCATTGACAAAATTATTTTTAACATTTTGATAATTTTGTTGAGTATACCATAAAAATTTGAGAAGCTGACAAATCGCAACAAATTTTTCAAATTTAAGTATGGATAATTTTTGAAAGATGAGATCTCGACAGTATTTCGAGGCATTAAATTTTAAATAGATTTAATGAATTTTAGAATCATGAATATTTAAAAATTGAGACAATTTTTTAAATATTATAGACTAAGTAAAAGCATAGCTCCTCAAATTCTATGCCACCGCCTGTCAACATTTGCAAGAGAGTTCGTGGGGCAATACCAGGCGGGATTCATGGGTGCCCGCGCTACCACGAACCAAATTTTCGCGATTCGGCAGGTTCTGCAGAAATGCCGCAAATACAACGTGTCAACACATAATTTGTTCATCGATTTCAAATCCGCATACGACACAACCGATCGAGATCAGCTATGGCAGATTATGCACGAGTACGGATTTCCGGATAAACTGACGTGATTGGGCGACAATGGATCGAGTGATGTACGTTGTTCGAGTATCTCGAGAGTGTCCCCAGCAGGGCCCAACAAAGTAACTTTCAATTGAAAATCGTCAAGCGACGACGAAGCTGTCAATCATAACTTTCAATTGAAAGTCATTCTGTCTTCTCTTCGAGCATATTCCCTTCAACAGCAACAGAACCACTTAAGATCAGTTTTCATGCTGTTTGTATTGGCTCTTGTTCATTTCGTCTTCAATTGTCAAATGAGCTTACTTTCGCATTGAAGCGAAGCTATTCGATCCAAATTCGCGCTGTTTTCTTGTTGCGCATGCGCAAAATATCTGTGCACGTGAATGTCGAATTTATCATTGTCGGGTGGTTTGTTTACCCATCAATATGGATATTTTTGGAATCGGGGTGACGTCTAGAGTCTGGAAAACGATATGTGACGCCATTTTTAAATTGAATATGTTAAAAAAAGGTGGGAAATACTGATGCCGACCCACCAATATGGTTATTTCTAATCTAATCTAATCTAATCTAATCTAACACCAACACAGCCAGTTCTTGAAAGCATCCTGGAAAATGATGGATATACCTCCATCATTTTGCTTGTCTATTTGATATATGTTTCATATCGAAGATGCGTCACACATATAAAAACGGCCAGGCCTACTGTGCAGCATTTAAGGGGCAAGATGATTCAGAAAACATCGGGCCTGTTTAAATCGAAGATCGATGCTTCAGAATCCAATAAATGGATGAAACGTGGACATCTCGTACCGATTTTGGTAATTATATGATTGGTTGGTCGTTGGAAGCATCAAAGCTAGAAAGGTTAAGTGATGCTCCATTTTCTTCTGACGGTTACGGCATGAGCACTAACTCTTGTCCTAGCCTGTTATGACTTATGGCTATAGCGCCATTACTCGCTTTCTGAAAAGAAAAGAGGGAAAAGAAAAAAGGAAAAAAAGAGAAGGACAATGGGAAAAGGACAATGGGAAAAGGATTATGTAAAATCTATGAACATAAACAACATTTTTTATTTGAAATATACAATATAGAAATGCATAACAGCGGTGGTCACTACCCGAGTCTTGTCACTATTATCAAGTCAAAAAAAGTAACAAGGAATAAAATGTTATCCTTTGATAATTGGAAAATCCTGATTTTTTAGTTTGAATTTGTCACGGCTAGGGTTCGGTGGTAGATCTTATGCCAGTAACGCACCACAAAAAGGTGATCCCCCAACGTTACTGGTTTGAAAAGACAAAAAAATTACCAAATGGAACGAACTCACCAAGTTTAGCTGCTTGACATGTGTTGATGTAGAAGTCCAAATTGTAGACGAAGCTTGACTAAGATCAGCATGAATTTATTAAATTTCATATATAAAAATGAAATTTATTCATTGATATTGAAGGGATCATAGAGTTATGGAGAGTTGACTGTAGCAGAGCAACCGAAAGAAGTTTAATATCATCATCATCAATGGAGTTTAGATCCTGCTTCATGACAAAGACCGATCTAACGGATAACGGAGTTTGACGTCAAAGTCCATCTTCCATCCAAACAACGGGGGAACAAAAGGGACCTCTCACACCAAGGCGCATTGCGAAGAGCCCTTCTACCACTACCGCGAATCATCATTTCGGTGCTCACACTCTAATTCAATTGGCGTTGACGGCACCTTCGAAAAACCGTGTCTTCTAACAATTTTAAATAGAGCGATTTCATTCGCAAAAAAATCATCATCTTAGCGCCCCTCAGTGGGACTTTGTATGGGAGCGAGCTGTCAATTTAATAGTTGAGTGTCAAACAGTGTTATTATCTTGCATTAAATCTTGATGTAAAACCCGAAATAAAAGTCTGTGGGATCGAAAAAAATATCGTTGTGCTCAGAAGACAAGCTCTTTCAGATGATGTATAAAAACAGATAATTTTTTCTTCCAATTTGGCATTGTTTAAAGGAATTTTTATCAGCTTTTCAAAAATCACATCCCTATTTTTCGGAAACTTTCGAAATTTAGTGCAAAATTATGTTTTTTGATATCAAGTCTAATGGCTGAAAAAAAATGATTCTACGCAAATACAAGCGTGGCATCGAAGTAGGCTATGACCATCGGTAATTAAATTGTGATCAAATAACACTCAATTATGTTTTACGCTATTTAATTTTTTATTTTGCCCTTATGCAGGATGGGTACACATTTTTTAATTCCATCATATTATTTTCCTGATGAATGTGAGCGTCTTAGTGGAATACCTGTATAATGAGAGAGAGAAGGATTAGTATTTTCCATTTAATTCCACTACTTTATTTGCTTATTCTTGACAGATACGCGTATTTCGTCTACAATGTGTAGACTTCTTCAGTGTCTTGTACTAATACTCGACTAATAATAGTCGAGTATTAGTACAAGACACTGATGAAGTCTGCACATTGTAGACGAAATACGCGATGTTCTCGATAGTCAGAACAAACACCGTATTTTTAGTTGCAAACTTAGCAGCTTCAAAGCTGTAATTTAATTGTTAACATTACTGATGATACAAAGATAAGTATAATACAATAATCTTACATTTTCAGTGTTCTTCTTCTTTTGCCAGGTCACCGTCTACCATGGATGGACAATTCCGACACGATCTATAACCAACGGTAGGTATTTAGGTCCATTTTAGGTTAGGCGACAAGCAAGGTAAGTACTATTATTCTAATTTTAGGAACAACAATTCTAATGAATGATCCACTTACTACGTGGAAAACCGCGAAATTATAAATACGAATCGAACTGTAATTACAATAAACGTTTTAAATCACAATTCTTCAATTATTAATCGCTAAACTTACAAGCTATTTCACCTCACTAGAATTAACTTCTTTATTTTTCCTCACAAAGAAACCAAAACAAACTTCAATAGCGCTTCATATGGGTCTACAACTATATGCGTTTCTTTACATTCAATCTGTCATTCGCTTCGCCCGGCACTGGCGTTTTGCTCGCGAGGGTTCGGTCAGTTGGTTCACCCACAATTCGCCGCGTCGAGGGGTATCGGCGACATCCCCCAACCCGTGAACAACTTCCGTTTCCGAAGCGACTGCTTCCGTACTCCTGTCGTTGCTCGCCACGTCCAGAACCACCAGCTTCACCGCAGGTCTAGCGAACACTCCTCTAGCTGTCTGTACCGTAGCACGCCTCACCTGCCCAGATTTGTCCGGAAAGGTCTCACAAATACGTCCTCGCTCCCAATGATTCTTCGAATTTTCGTCGACTATCACGACTAGATCGCCAGGTTCCAGCGGCTTCACTGCATCGAACCATTCCGTACGCCTCGTTAGCATTGGGAGATATTCTCGTACCCATCTGCGCCAGAATTCGTCCACGATGTGCTGCGCAAGCTTCCAGCTGTCTCGAAGGATCTTACCGTTCACAGGTTCGGTTGCTGGTTGCTTGATACCGGTTGACCCATACAGCAGAAAGTGGTTTGGCGTGAGTGCCTCTTCGTCTGCTGCCTTCAAGGGAACGTAGGTCAGCGGTCGCGAGTTGACGATCGCTTCAGCCTCCAACATGATCGTTTCCAACACCTCATCGCTTGGATGACGCGGACTATTCGATACTGCCTTCATCGCTACCTTTACGGAGTTGACCATACGCTCCCATGGTCCTCCCATGTGCGGAGCCGCTGGAACGTTGAAATGCCACTGGGTGTTCGCGTTGGTGAATGTGGCAGCGCAGTCCTCGACGATGTCCTGGATCTTCTGCTTCTCTTCAGACAACTGGCGATTCGCTCCTACAAAGTTCGTGCCGTTATCGGAAAAGACTTCCAACGGTGCGCCCCACCGGGCCACTAATCTCCTGAAGGCCACCACGCAGGAAGTCGTTGAAAGGCTGTGTACCAGCTCCAGGTCAACCGCCCTCACTGTGAGACAGGTGAACAGGCAAATCCACCTCTTCACCACGCTGCGTCCGACTTTGACTTCGAAAGGTCCCATGTAATCGACGCCGACGTAAGTAAACGGCCGAACGAATGGTGTCAACCGTACCTTTGGCAGTGGTCCCATCAGCACCAGAGCAGCTTTCGGCACTTTACAGTGTTGACAAGCTCTGCTGACTTTACGTACGAGAGTCCGAAGCTTCGGTAGAGTAGTAGAACCCTTGCCGTAGTTCATTTAAGACTGTTTCTCCGTTGGCGTGAAGGAACCGCCGGTGGAAAGAATCCACCAGAAGGAAGGTGATACGATGATCCCTTGGCAATATTACGGGATACTTTGCCGTGTATGCAATGTGCGGCGCGTTTCCATTCCGACCTCCTACCCGAATGATTCCGTGATCATCGATGAATGGAACTAACGATTGCAGTGAGCTTTGTTTCCGAACGCTGCGACCCTTGCTCAGCTCGTGAAGCTCCTCCGAATACGCCAGCTTGGGCCTGTCGCCAAAGTGTCTCCTCCGCCTTCTCGAAATCCTCTTGGTCTGGACCTTGTCGCCATTGTGCATCACTCAGCGTGCGCTTCCAGAACCGTAGCGCCCTGTGAACGTAGGCCATCGTACGGACTAAACGATTCCAGCTTGAAAAACGTGCAGCATCAACTATCTCCACCGTCGTTTGGTGTACCGCTACCATTCGAAGTTCTTCGCTTGCCGCGTCTGCTTCGCTTACTTCTGCTGATTGCTTAGGCCACTGCCCTTTTGGATCTCGTAGAAACGATGGACCTTGAAACCAACGGTTTTCTGGATCAAACGATGGTCCCGAACTTGGTGGCGTCATCTGCCACGTTGAGCTTCGATGGTACGTAGTGCCATTCATCCACGCTGGTGAGCGAAAGAATCTCGCCCACCCGAAAAGCGACGAACTGGTGGTACCGACTGTCGCTGAATCCGTCCAAAGGAACCGTTTTCGAATGTTGAGGGTTAGCGCCCAACACACGTTTTGCAATAAGCGGGATCCCATCATGGCAGCCTGAAGCTCCAAGCGTGGAATTGAGAGAGTCCAAAGTGGCGTAGCTTTTGTTTTTGCTGCTACCAACGAACACCAGCTACCTCCGCTGAACATCATTCTCAGGTAAGCGACACACGCACATGCCGCTACGCTTGCATCCGTGAACACGTGGACCTCGATTTCGTCCACCTCATGGGGCAGAAGATTTCCGTCAGTCAAGGATAAGCAAATAAAGTAGTGGAATTAAATGGAAAATACTAATCCTTCTCTCTCTCATTATATTATTCTTGTTTTTTATGTTTTGAAACATGTTGGTACTTGGTAGCAATTTGAGATTACACGATTCAAAATAGAAACGAAAAAAAAAAATCGCGTTACAGAATTGAGTTTAATACAATAAAAATGTCTCATGCTGAATTTTATTTCAAAACACATGTTGATCATTTCCTTGAGAGTAACCGTTCTCGAATTTGGCCAAGTTGGTTGAAAATGGTTCTTAGCCTACACAGTAGAAAAAACTAATGAGAATGTCTATCACTATGATGCATATAAAAGGAGCGTCATGTATCATTCAAGTTAACTTTCAAAATATTGTTTGCAACATTTCTTGCAAGTGGTATTATGGAAGAAAGCAGTTTTAGTCCGGGAATTAGAAAGTGCTTACTCAACTGTTGATCCAGAAACTCATTTTAAAATGTTTGAAAATTCATACCAATTCCGAAGTCACTTTCAGAAGCCATAAGCTCCACATGTCTACAGTTCCGATATCACATGGCTAATTGAAAGGCATGCACACCTTCAGATTCAGAACAATGCTTTGAATCCAGCGCGTATTTAATAAAGCATGATGTAAAAAACGATTGGGAATATCCATTGTCAGTAAAATAATATGAAAAGATCTCACCAAATTATGTGTCTATAGATCAAGCTATGGATCCTGTCTTAATACATTATTGTTGCCATCGTCCTCCTCCTCTTGCTTGTAGATGCTTTTTTCGCAGCAGCACACATCAAAAGTTCTATTCAATGGCACTAATTTCCTACTGTATAACTTTAGATATTTATAAAAAAAATACAAAAATATTTGGAAAAAGTGACAGAAGTCAACGAAAAAAACAGCGACCGAAAAAAAACACAATTCCATCCGCGAGCACAGCACACTGCGATCTTCGTCTATGGTTATTTGTGGAATCGGGGTAAAGTCTAGAGGTCGAAAGTTGATATGCGATGCCATTTTGAAATTCAAGATGGAGGCTTCCAGTTAAAGAAAAAGTGGAACTAGGATGCTTTTCCGTCGATCTTGTTTTCCGTGCTGAGCACCAATGCTACCGACGCCAGGAAGGCAGCTCCCACTCCTGAACCTTACCTATCGACCAATAAACTCTTAAACCGGGGACCGGGGACCAAAGGCTTTCCTTCCCTTCCGAAGGAAGGCGTGATCAGAGATGTTATGCCTCAGAACATCCCGGCGGCGCCGACTGGGATTGAACCCAGGCCTGCTGGGGTGAGGGGTAATCACGCTTACCACTACACCACCGGCGCCGCTATAGAACTAGGATGCTGTCTAGAGAATGTAAATTTAATCCGACGCTATTTTGAAATCCAAGATGGTGGTTTCCTATTTCAGAAAAAGTGGGAAATAATTACAAATACCTATCAATGTAGGTATTTTTGGAAACGGCATGTCATCTAGGGATTGGAAATAGATATGCAACACTATTTTGAAATTCAAGATGGGGGCTTCCGGTTCACGAAAAGGCGAAAAATTCTGTCAAATACCCATCAATATGGGTATTTTTGGAATCGGGATGACGACTAGAGAATAAAAATCGATATCCGTCGGCATTTTGAAATCCAATATGGCGGTTTCCAATTTCAGAAAAAAAAAGTGGGAAATGCTGTCAAATACCCATCTATATGGGTATTTTTTTAAACAGGGTTACGTCTGGAGGCTGAAAATCGATATCCTACGTCATTTTGAAATCCAAGCTGACGGCTTCCGATTTCAGAAAAAAGTGGATAATTCTGTTGCCGACCCATCAATATGGGTATTGACGTCTAGATGCTGAAAATTGATATTCGACGTCATTTTGAAATCCAAGATGGCGGCTTCCAGATATGCAAAGTGGGAAATACTGTCAAATACCCATCAATGTGGGTATTTTCGATATCCCAGTACCGTCTAGAGGCCAGAAACCAATGTTTGATGCCATTTGAAAATCTTACATGGAGGTTTTGGTTCAGAAAAAGTGTGAAATACTGTCAAATACCGATCAATGTGATTATTTTTGGAATCGGGGTGATGGTGGCTTCCGATTTCAGAAGAAGCCCTACGAATGGCGTTGAATATTGATTTTCAACTTCTATGCGTCGTCTCCGTTCCAAAAATACCCAGATCTTACGGTATTAGATACTTTTCTGTAGCCCGATGGCCGCCATATTGGATTACAAAATGGCGTCGAATATCGATTTTTGGCATCTACACGTCGTCCCCGGCCCGAAAATACCGATATTCTAGTGTATTTGAGACTTTTCTGAGCCCGATGGCAGCTATCTTGGACTCCAGAACATCCGGACTACATATAATCCGGATGCCATCCCTATCGGCACCCGATATTGTGCGTATACTATGTTTTGATGCCTGAAGACGTGACGCGTGACAAATCGAATGAGCCCCGAATTGAAGTGAAAGTGGAAAAAACGAAGGAAGCAGGTTTCGAGTCATTAATTACGTCAATTGAAACAAGTCTTTGCTTCAAATGAAATGAGCTGATGCACTTGACGAACGAAACAAGCCATAGTCAAGTCATGTTTGACAGGAAGAATGTCCATAGTGACTCGACAATAAGAAACATAATGACTTTACGAAAATGATATTGCTCGAAATGAAGCGATTCTGCGGAGAGTTCATTTTCTTTTCTTTGTTTCGAAAATGCAGAACCCTGCTCTCGAGTCCCTTTGAATCTCGAAGGGGGCTACGGCAAGGTGATGGACGTTCGTGTCTGCTATTCAACATCGCGTTAGAAGGTGTGATCAGAAGAGCTGGGAGGCGGATTGGACTTGTCATCAACGCATCGAAGACAAAAATACGTGAAAGGAAGAGGCTCTAGGGAAAGATAAGATAAGATATTTTGAATATTGTCGACTCCAGGCCCTAAAACCGGGATTTTATCATCAATTCAGCGTGAGCCAATAATTTCCCATCGGCTTGCGCGTAAAAACTAACACGACACGTCCTTCAGCGCTATATTTTTGTGAAATGAAAATAATAATTTTGCATTTGATCCTCAAAATCATCCCCACCAAAATGAAGACGAATATTAATATTGGCAACAACGGAGGCGATAATGAACATCCAGCCACGAATGAAGAAAAACAAAATGTTGATTACGATTCTCAGAGGTTGCCATGATCAAGAGAATATTGTTATGTCAAAAATAAGATTCATGCAAGTAGTTGGTCTTCATTTTCAGCTATGTTGAGTGTAGAAGAAATGATTTTTATCGGCACTGCTCTTAACTATCGTTCTAATTTCAATCACCTTTCATCATTTTTATGCTATTATTTACAAAATCTTTTACCATCAACACGTGGCCATTTCATGTTGTTTTCACTATTTCCATCATCGAAATATACACTATTTAATATACTTACCTGCATTCTGAAGCGAAAACTGCGCCACTTTAGTGAGCCCTGTGTGCGCGCAATGATCGTAATACTCGTCTACAGAATTATGCTCGCTTTTTCTCATGACCGACGCGAACCCCAATCGGTGATCGATCTTAATTTGTTTTATCTGTCTAGTCTCTATGTAACATTCCAACTTAAGTAAATGGGGCTGAACACTCGCAAAGCGATATTTTGTTCTTGTATGTTACAAGAAGAGGTTATGAGGTGTGAGTTTGACACATTAAACTTGTCAATTTAGTTTTCTGAAAGTCACAAACACTTGTCCCATTCTCTCCTATGAGCTCATGAAATTAAGAAATAAAATTACGCAAAGCTCTGGAAATATTGGAGTTGGATTTTTGATTTATTGAGCAAATTCATATTTTCAACAACATTGGTGAAGTCATGGTTCCTCTAAATCTCCATCCTGTTTTATCATAGTAAAACATGACTAATTTTTGATACGTTCAAATTGTGGAGAATAATCATATAAACAAAACGTTTGAAGACAATTCAAGGCTAAAATGAAAAGGTCAGGCTCTAGAAAAAAAAAAGTTCCACAATTTGCCTTTTTGGATCACAGTGCGATAGTGAAGCAAAACTGATCAAGCCCTTAAGCTTACATCAAGGTGACAATCGAGTGGTTCAGCAAAGTACAAAGCTAGCTGGATTTCTTCATGCTCGTCGATGACAGCAGCGGTTGCTAAATATTTGGATTTTCTTTCTCATGAAATCACCAAACTACGGAACGCTTTAGATCACAACAGTAGAGATATAGACACATTTATTCATTTCAATAATCTACTACTACATAAGTGAAAGTCTTTGTGAGCTTGTAAATTGAGTCCTATTGAGTGTAATTGCAGACGTGAAGGCACATTCGAAGCTAGTTATCCCCTAGAGTGCGATAGTCCTAGCAGTTTACTTTTTCTTGATGAGCTTTTTCCCAGAACCGCTGGGACCGGCTTCTAGCCAGAACGTTTCCATCTCTCCCTTTCCCTGAATTCATTCGATCCATCATTACAACTTCAATCAAAAACTGTACCATTTATTATCTTACCTTCACGGCCACCTTCCCGCGGAATGTCAGTTTGAAGCCATACTTCTTCAGCTTGTTGGCCGTGTATCCGGAAACTTGGATCTTGTTAATATCGCTACTGCTCTCCATTCTGGATGATGTATTGACCGTATCGCCAAACAGACAGAAGCGTGGCACTTTCAACCCAACAATTCCGGCCACGATCGGTCCGGTATGGAATCCAATTTTCACTCCAACTCCCGGCAGGTTCAGGTCGTGGATGCTCTGGAGCATCCTCAACGCCAGATCGGCCGTGTGCTGTACGTGGCAAGGATTAGCATCTGGCGCTCCACTTACCGCCATATAGACCTTGCCTACTGTCTCGACCTTGTACGCCATCGGTGACTGTATCAACTCGTCAAATGCGGAAAAGGCCGAATTCAACGTGTTCACTGTCGTCATCGCGTACTTGATCGAGTCATCGGACATAAGCGATTCCTGAATTTCTGCAAACAGAACAGTCACTTCCTCAAAGCTCTGACATGTTTCCAGAGGATTCTGCCCTTCTCGCAGCCGTTCAGCTATCGACCTAGGGATCATCGAGTACAACAACTCGTCACCCTGCCGTTTCCACGAATCGGCCAAGGCCAACGACGTTTCCAGCTCTTCAGCTCGCTTTTCCTCACGCTCACACATCAGATCAAGCCGGGAGTTGTGTGAAAATCCGGAGAATACCATCTCCCTGCTGAGACCGTGCGTGTTCAGATCATTAAGATACAACCCAACCTCTCGCAGTTCCTCCAAGTTGTTAATCCTGAAAATGCACCAGATAGTATATCGAACTTCGTATCGTTAAACACCCCCATGTTCATACAGAGGACTACAGAGAAACACCACTGAATCGATATCCTTGATGTATCGCATCTCCCCTTTCAGCAGGATACTCCTCAGACCCTGCGAACCCCGACGTGCCATAGATATCAAATTGGCCGGATCGTCCGGTTCCGGTTGGGACGGTTTGAGATCGGCTGAGGCGTGGGCAGTTTCGGCCGCTCCATTAATCGTTGAACCCTTCAGCAGTTGAATTTCAAAGTTCACCGTCTGGAAACGTTTCAACTGCAATTGATAACAATAACAAAAAAACATTCGTAAACATCAATCGATGTATGGTTAAGTAAACGACTTACATTCTCCCAGGTGAACGTAATTCCCGTAGGTCGCCGGAGCTTGAAGTGTTCGGTCACCTTAGCGCCCATCAGCTCCGTCGGTGAACGGTTAGTGTTGTTGAGAATCCACGATTCGATGAGCTTCTCACCGGCTGCGGTGATACGCATCTGCTCGTTGAGGATCAACGCGAACGGGAACAGATCCAGTAGCACACTGCTGCTCACCGGGGGCAGCTGAAGCTGCGATGGGTGAGCGTTGATGTGGACTCGTCGTTGCATCTGTGGATGAAGACAATATGTATATTTTTGTATGATGTAGATATTGCAGGTTTTCCAGATTACGCCATATGTGCTGGATGAATCCACACTGCCCTAGCCGATCATTTGTCAGGAATATAACCAACTTAGTGAAGAACAGCCCTCAGTATCAGTATCAGTAGTGTCACAATATTGAATTTAAAAATTATTCCTGATTAAAACTACAATAAATTAGTGTTTCGATTGCAACACCCCTCACGAAGTAGAGCGTTAGTTTTGAGCAGTGCTGTCATGGTCAACTGAGATTTGGTTACCTGCTGAATTTTCGAATGTGCGCGCCCAACCACCTTAAATTCATGCGCCCCTTTTCACAAGATTCCGTAACTGTAATGTAGAAAAGTATAAACACATGTACGCACAATTTAGTTCCCTCTAATCGACACTCAGACATGGCTATAGTTTTGTTTTTTTTTTATTAATTACTTTATTTGTACAGGCTCAATCGAATAAACTTTACAGAGCCGAGTTATCATTTTCGTTATACATTATTGATGTCTTATATTATATATAAGTTAAAGGAGCTGGACCGGATACTCGCGGTTGTCTCGAGGTTAGTGGAGATTTACAATTTTTTTGGATGGGAAAAGGGAGAGGGAAGTTTGAAATGTGGTTTTCGATACAAATATTTAATTAATCCTAAAACATGAACTAATTTCTATTCATCTTGAAAACAAACATTAAAAAAAAACTACACGCACAATACACAAACTAAACACAAGGTTAATAAAACTTACAATCTAAGGTTAGTATTCTTAAAGTAAACATATATGAGTTTCATAAACTCCAGATCACGTCTAGCCAAAATATCCCGAACTGGAACATTAGGTTGTCTACCTCGAGCCCAAAGGGAATCGCACAGCTCAGATCTGACTCCACGATGCTCAGCACAAGACCAAAGGATGTGATCGGCGTCTTGGTAACCTTGTCCACATTCACAGAGATTGCTGTCTCCCAGCCCAACACGGAACAAGTGAGCGTTTAACGAATAGTGATTGGACATGAGGCGAGACATCATACGAATGAAGTCTCGACCCACATCCAACCCCTTGAACCAAGGACTCTTCGACACCTTAGGGATGATCGAATATAGCCATCGTCCCAAACTCCCTTCACTCCACTTATTCTGCCAGCTGACGAGTGACTGTTGACGATAAATGAAGAAAAATTCGTTGTAGGCCATTTGTCGATCGTAAATATCGCCTTCCATAGCGCCCACCTTAGCAAGTGAGTCCACCATCTCATTGCCCGGAATCGAGCAATGAGATGGGACCCATGCAAAGGTGATGACAAAAGATCTTAAAGATAAAGCACTTAAAAGCTCTCGTATTTTCATGAGAAAATACGAGGAGTGCTTTACCGGCCTCATGGATCGAATAGCCTCGACAGAACTGAGACTATCCGTAAAAATAAAATAGTGATCTGGTGCAAGTGAGGCGATCGTTTCTAGCGTATAGTGTACTGCCGCCAGTTCAGCAACATATACGGAACAAGGAGCTTGAAGCATTCGAGAGGCGCTATGAAATTCGTTAAAAATACCAAAACCAGCGGACGACTCTATTAGTGATCCATCTGTGAAGAACGATCTTGCGGAATCAACTTGGCCAAACTTTGCAGCGTAAATTGACGGAACAATCATGGAACGATGATGTTCTGGGATCCCACGAATCTCCCGCGTCATAGATAAATCAAAACTAACTGAATTGCCGAAGTCAGAGAAGCATACACGATGAGGATTATGCTGTGAAGGGCTGACATCCTGTGTTATGTACACGTAGTACAATGTCATAAAACGAGTTTGGGGGTTTAGCTCAAGAAGCTTCTCAAAGTTTGCAATCACCAGTGGGTTCATAATTTCACAACGGGTGAGGAGCCTGAGGGATAATTCCGAAAACCGATCAGATAGTGGCAACATGCCCGCTAACACTTCGAGACTCATCGTATGAGTCGAGTGCATGCATCCTAACGCGATACGAAGACAGCGATACTGGATCCGTTCCAGTTTGATGATGTGCGTTTTAGCCGCCGACTGGAAGCAAAAACTACCGTACTCTAAAACCGATAAAATCGTTGTCCGGTACAACGTCAGAAGATCTTGTGGATGGGCTCCCCACCACGTTCCGGTAATTGTTCGAAGAAAATTGATCCTTTGTTGGCATTTTCGTCTCAGATACTCAATGTGGGATCTCCAGGTGCATTTGGAATCGAACCAGACCCCAAGATATTTGAAAGACATGGAATGAGTGATCGGCCTACCCAAAAGTTGAAGCTTCGGTTGTGCTGGGCTATGCTTCCTAGAAAAAACGACCAACTCAGTTTTCTCCGTGGAGAATTCGATACCTAGCTGAATAGCCCAAGTAGACAAATTGTCTAAGGTATCCTGTAAGGGTCCTTGCAGGTCGGCCTCTCTGGGCCCTGTCATAGACACAACTCCGTCATCTGCAAGTTGTCTCAGCGTGCAGTTGTCACTTAGACAATTGTCAATTTCTCTGACGTAGAAATTATACAAAAGGGGGCTTAAACATGAGCCCTGGGGGAGGCCCATGTAACTAAATCGAGAAGCTGTAGAGTTTCCATGAGAAAAGCTCATATGTTTCTCTGACAGCAAATTGTACAAAAAGTTATTAATTAATGGAGAAAGGCCACATGCGTGGAGTTTGTCTGAAAGGACCTCAACCGATACTGAATCAAAAGCCCCCTTAATATCCAAGAACACAGAAGCCATTTGCTCTTTTTTAGCAAAAGCCAACTGAATTTCGGTGGAAAGCAACGCGAGACAGTCGTTCGTTCCCTTGCCCCTACGGAAACCAAATTGAGTATCTGAGAGTAGGTGGTTCGTCTCAACCCATTTGTCCAAGCGAAAAAGGATCATTTTCTCCAACAATTTTCGAATGCACGATAACATCGCGATGGGACGATACGAGTTATGATCTGAAGCCGGTTTTCCAGGCTTTTTAATGGCTATAACTCTCACTTGCCTCCAATCATCCGGAACAATATTGAGCTCTAGGAACTGACAAAACAAGTTCAACATGCGCCTCTTAGCGACGTCTGGGAGGTTCTTCAACAAGTTGAACTTGATTCTATCAGCCCCCGGAGCCGAATTGCCACACAAAAGGAGCGCGAGTGAGAGCTCCAGCATTGAAAAAGGCTGGCTGATCTCGTCTACCGAATTCGTCGTTTCGCGAGGAATCATCCGTGCCGGCACGGAATCAGGACATACTTTTCGTGCGAACTTGAGAATCCACCGATCCGAGTACTCCTCGCTCTCGTTGTTTGAAGACCGGTTACGCATCCTTCGCGCCGTGTTCCAAAGCGTATTCATCGACGTTTCGCGCGATAAACCGTCCACGAATTGCCGCCAGTATCCGCGTTTCTTGGCTTTGATGAGGCTTTTGAGTTCGCGTTCAAGAGTCGAGTACGCTTCGAAATACACGGGTGTTCCACGTTTCCGGAAAAGCTTAAACGCGTCGGACTTTTTACGATAAACCTCTGTGCATTGGTGGTCCCACCAAGGGGAAGGAGGTTTCCTACGCAAAGACGTTCCAGGAACCGACCGAGTTTGAGCTCGAAGCGCGCTGTCCAAGATCAGATTGGAGAGGAAGTTATATTCCTCCAACGGTGGAAGCCCTTCTACCGACGACACGGCTTCCTCTATCGCGGTCTTGAACGTTGTCCAATCGATATTACGGGTGAGGTCGTACGCGACGTTAACGGATTCCGACGGATTGAACCCACTGGCAATCGAAATTTTGATCGGCAAGTGATCACTACCGTGGGGATCTTGGATCACATTCCACGTGCAATCCAACGATAATGAGTTAGAGCAAAGTGTGAGGTCTAATTTACTTCCATTCGAGGATGGTCCAGCCAAACGTGTTACTTCTCCATTGTTAAGTATTGTCATATTGAAGTTATCACAGAGGTCATATATAAAAGTAGAACGGTTGTCATCATACAGTTCCCCCCAGCCTGTACCGTGGGAATTGAAATCTCCCATGATCAACCGTGGAGCAGGAAGTACCGAACATATATCTGAAAGTTGTTTTCGATTAACAACGGCTCTAGGAGGAATATAAACAGAAGCAATACAAAGGTTCTTACCTTTAAAAATAGCCTGACATGCGATAACTTCAATACCTGGAAATTGTGGAAGATTCACTCTATAGAAGGAATGGCACTTTTTGATCCCCAAAAGTACCCCTCCTCCATGCGAATCCTCACGATCCAGTCGAATAATGTTAAAATCATAAAAAGGAAGATCAATATCTGAAGAGAGCCAAGTTTCACAAAGAGCAAATGCATCACAATCATTATTGTGAACTAAAAACTTAAAAGAGTCTAATTTAGGAATAAGACTTCGACAATTCCACTGTAGAATAGTGATCAAATCCCCGACCTCGTTTGGAAAATTATCCATCGAAGGAAATGATTGCTGCAAGGAGGGGCCATTTCAACGTCAATTGCTTTAAGAGGGTCTTCACAGTAGGAAGCATTGCCAGAACAATGCTTTTCAGAGGATCAGAAATATTCAGGTACTTGAGGATATCGTCCACAATTTTATCAAATGAGAACAACCCAGATGAAGAAGGGGCTTCTGTTCTTAAAAATGGGACATCAGGGGTTTTGGATGTCCCCGGGAGAGGTGGAAAATCCTGGGTATAGTCAGTTCTTCTGAATCCAGGAGGAGTAGAAACTTCCTTTTTTCCACCACTCCTTGATTTGGGCAAGCTGATTTGAGGTTCTTCATTCTCAACTTTCCGCGAACGGATGCGTTTTCGTTTCCGTGCTGAAAAAAGGAAAGAAGTTCCCTCCTCAGCCAAGTCAGAGTCAGTCTCGTCATCTGACAAAAGAGAAAAGGGATTTTTGTCGTTGGTCGATGGCGTGGCCGTCTTAAGCATTTCTGCAAAAGACTGCCGGGAACGTTCCTTAAGTGAGCGTTGTAATTTCTCCCCGCGTTGTTT